GCCATCCCCGTCGGCACCCCCATGCGTCCTCCTTCATAAAATTGAACACGACGTGTACACCTATACGCACCGACGACGACATACACACGGTAGGGAAAGAAAACGGACGGGCTCGGCAAAAATCAGAGCGAGAAGACGAAGAGACTCGCGCGACGATCATTAAGCCCGAAGCTTTTTATTCTGATAAAACGACCTGTCGATTTGCGCGAATTTAAGTGTACTATTCACACACGTCGCTTTTTATCGAAATAATATGTCTGTGAAGCTGTACCCCCCACCATCGAAAATCAAGTTCGGAATAGGTCAAAAATTTTGCGCTAATTATGCGCTAATTTTGCACCCTATTCCGAAATTTAGCGCTCCAACCGTTTAGCAGATTTAAAAAAAAAATGGGGGGTGCAGCTTCCCAGAAAGCTGAAACGAATTTAAGGGCGCGGCGCGCGGTCTTCCGCGACGTTTTGATCATTTTGACTGACCTAAGAGTGAGCGCAAAATTCAGTGTGAACATATTTCGAAACTAGAATGTCTAAGGATTATTTTGATACCATTATTAATCGAGTGCATAATTATTTGACGCTCTTGATAACGAATTTAAGGGCGCGACGCGCGGTCTTCTGCGACGTTTTGATTATTTTGACTGACCTAAGAGTGAGCGCAAAATTCAGTGTGCACATATTTCGAAACTAGAATGTCTAAGGATTATTTTGATACCATAATCAATCGAGGTTCCTAATTATTTGACGATCAGGTAATTTACTTTAGTGTGCGGCGCGCTCTAATATTGGAATTAACGCTCTATATTCGAATTGACGCTATATTTTAATTTTTTTTGGCTCTATTGTGTAGTGCAAAATTAGCGCAAAATTTTCTGTTCACTTATTTGTTGTGTACGTGCCCTGTATATTTTTTTTTGGGGGGGGGAAGTTGCAGCTTTCTGGGAAGCTGCACCCCCCCATTTTTTTTTTAAATCTGCTAAACGATTGGAGCGCTAAATTTCGGAATAGGGTGCAAAATTAGCGCATAATTAGCGCAAAATTTTTGACCTATTCCGAACTTGATTTTCGATGGTGGGGGGTGCAGCTTCACAGACATCGAAATAATTCAGTTTTTTGATAAGGAAGATTTTTTTAATATGCCGATATTTATACGTTTTATTAATTATGTTTCTTCAAATATAAATATATCTAAGTATTTTTAATAAAAAAAAGCAGGTATTAATTGCATATAGATTTTAATTTAAAATGTTAAAGTATCAGCATATAGATATATTGCAAAGTATCAACATATAGATAAATTGCGTGATTTTGGATTAAAACTTTCTCATTACAGATCTTCACATAAATTTAAGCGTTTTAGAGATCAGTTCATTTTAAGAACTCTCAAAATTGAATTGAGTGACCCATATAGAACTGTTAGTCGTTCCCAAAAAGAGATATTACATCTTAGGAGAAGTATCATGAACCATGTTCCAGTGAGATATTGTAATTCCTTTTTTGCGAGACAAGAATGCACGTTTCATAAACAACATAATTAATATAAATTAGATTAAATTGGTTGATTTTAAAAAACAAGCGAAGGAAATGTAATAACATTAAACCGCGCTGCATTATTTTGTTGTCAATGAAAAACAAAACAATCTTGATAACAACAATGATGGGGTTATTAACGAATTTAAATTTTCTTTTCAAAGTAAGAATGATGTTCCATTGAGTGAGTAGATGGATGTTAAAATTAAAGTTAACGAATTTATTGACGACAATCCTGAATCTTCTTTGTTCAGTATAAAAAATGGATGGTTCGTTAACTTGTCTCGATGTGAGATTCCAAAAAAGGTTCAATTGTTGTTGCAATTGGTTGACAATTTTTCTATACCTTCGGTACTCCATAAAAGCACATTGATCGAATTTATCAAGAACATTGAGAATAATTTTTGGAAATTGCGACACGCTAACATTTTAAAGATCAGAAATTTAGCTATTCCGATTTTAAGAAAATTTCTGTCATCAACAACGAATAATTTTACAACTAATAGATTCCTTTCTTGTTAAATACACGACAATTTATTAAGAATAACTCAAACATAATTTTTACAAGAGCAGACAAAGGGAATATCACGGTGGCGTTAGACAGAAATAGTTATATTAATAAAGTCACTCAAATGCTGCAAGATCCTAACATTTACACCAAGCTGACGAGAAATCCTTTTTAAACAATTTGACAAAAAACATTCGAGAGCTGCTCATAAGATGGAAAAAGAAGAATTATATTTCTGATCAGACGTACAAAAAAGTCTCATGTAGTGATGGAATCTTACCGAGGTGTTATGCTTTGCCGAAAGTGCATAAACCGGGCAATACTTTTAGGATTATTATATCATCTATAGATAGTCCGGTATATTCTTTGGCTGTCTTTCTACATGACATAATATCCAATAATATGGAGAGACCAATTAGTAAAGTGGAGAATAGCTTCCAGATAATAAAAAAACTGAGAAACATGCAGATTCCTGATAATTTCTCCTTAATATCGTTGGATGTGGTTTCCCTGTTTACAAATGTGTCGATAGAATTAGCCATATTAAGTGTAGATAAAAGATGGGACTTTTTAAAAAAAGCGACAAGTATCCTGAGGAATGAATTTATGAAAGCAATTTCATTAGTATTAAACTCGATGGTTCTTAGCTTTAATGACGAATTTTATCACGGAACTCCGATGGGGTCGCCTCTCTCTCCTATCATTGCGGGCCTTGTATTGAGCGATTTGGAGACAGAAGCGCTTAAGACCATAGGTATAGATTTACCTTTTTATGTTAGATATGTTGACGATATTATTACGGCAGTCCCTTCTGACTTAATCGAATCTATTGTAGCAGGGTTCAATTCATTTCATAATAGACTACAATTTACGTTGGAGGTGGAGGGGTGATACAATAAATTTTTTAGACATAACGATTATCAAAAATGGAACTGGTTTAGAATTTGACTGGTATCACAAACCAACTTTTTCAGGTAGATGCTTGAATTATTTATCTACACACCCCATTATGATTCATAAAAAAAGGCATAGTGATGGGTATGACTGACAATTAAATTTAGAAGCTAAAAGATCATCAATCAATATATCAGAATATTTTTTTTATTTTAACTAAAAATTATGGCCATCTGTAGAAACAATGACGATCTACATTTGGTCGCTATTATTCCATTACTTGTAACCAGAGTCGAGCACTTGTGACCCATCTCGAGTGACTAACGATCTGATGAGATGGAGAATGATTGATCGGATATACATACATATATACATTCTTGACTATTAATTAACTTTACTAATACGATGACGGAACAGTACACAAGTTTCTCGTGTAATTTACTAATGAAATGCTATGCGATATCGTTATAATTCGAATATACTGTATTAGTATGTATGCATAATAATATAACATCAAATAAGAAATATAGAAATTATACGTTTCGCGGGACATCTCCGTATTCAAATCCACTTTTAGAATACCAACGTTTCGTGAACATTCACTTCATCAGGGCGAAGAACAGCCTGATAATATATTACGCGAAATTAAATTGCGCACAATTTCTGTACAGAAAGTGCCCGTGGAAGCCTCAAGAGAGTGAAATAAGAAATATAATACATATAAAAATGATAAAGGATAATATTGATCCTGAAATTTGGATCGACCAACGTCTAATTACAGAGTTACGTAGCATTCAAAATCAAGTAATTCTTGCGAATTAAACTTTAGGGATAAACTTGTAATAAATTAAAACCTTATCCACCCATTACGTTAGGTAAAGTTAACCTGACGAACGCAATAGTTTTTAAATAGATCGTATTAAATTATTTGGCTATTGATAATACGTGCTGAAGGAAATTACTAGGGATGCACCGGATCGTAAAATTATCGGATACCGGATATCCGAGAAGGCAATTTCTTCGAGTCGGATATCCGACATTTTCCGGATATTCAATCGGATTTCGACAAAATGTCATAAAAAAAAGCCTATAGGGAAAAAGATTATAATTTTGCGATAATGTATAAGAGGTCTGTTTTCTGTGGCTGAATTAGTGTACACTTTTGGAACTTAAAGTGAGAAAGATATACGTTCGATATTTATTTAAAGCGAGAAAGAGAGTTCTAGAATAGTCTAGTGCAGGAACAGAAAACATACCAAAGATATTATATATAGCATCATGAGAGAGAGAGAATTATTCTTAGACCATATGTATAAGAAAAAATCAACAATTTAATGATATCAAATTTCACCGGATACCTCCCCGGATAATAGTAATATCCGGCTGTCCGGTCGGATAGTAAAAAAGTGCCGGATAATACCAGATACCGAATACTTTCCGAATATCCGGTGCATCCTTAGAAATTATATAAATAACGACAATTAAATACGTACATTTAAAATAGTACATACATGCTTTCACATTGTGTCGTGCATATTCATTGAGTAAATATATTGCAAAAAACCATTACAATTAACGAATAACTGACTATTCATTTTCAAATTTCGATAATTTACGGATAAATATCAAAGGAGAAAATATCAATAATTTATATAGATGAATATCAAAGGTAGATATAAGATATCTTAAAGACATTACATCTTTAATAACCCTGGTATCTCAGATAGCAAAGGACGTTCAAAAAGGATTCAGTCGTATGTCATCAATTTTGAGTTTATTTTAAGATGCAAAAAGAATTCAGAACTTTTCAGAAAAATAATTTTTTTCCATCTAAAAGTGAACTTAGAATTAATGACATATGATGGAATTCTTTTTGAATTCTTTTCGAACTCTCTATGCTATTTGGGATCGCAGTGTGCTTAAAATCGACAATTTTTCAAGGCCCATTATGACCTCTAAGATGAAAACTGCGCGGACTAAATATCGACCCTCTACCAGTTTGTTAAGCGCCTTCACCCTCGACTTTCTAAATTTAGTCGACTCGATCGTTCGATGCCATTCTTTTTACTTACCCCCGAGCAAGTCCACCGCCAGCCTAATCGTGTTAATTTTGTAGCCGCTGGTTCCTTTGAAACTGTGTGGATGGGGTTCGCCGCACTGTTCCCTTTGATTCCCGTGCCACACCGCCAGTGATTAACCTGAGGGAAAAAGGTGTGTAAATAAACTTTTACTCCATGTAGTCTTATTTCTGTTTGTCACGGCTGTGTCAAATAGCAAATTCACGAGGTGAATTCTTTGATGCGGGGACAAAATTGATTTCTCTTTTTTTCTGAAAGTCTAAGAAAAGAGCGTTGCAGTTAATTACGTTCAGTAATTATCTCGAAGTAAACCTTCTAATAAACCTTAACACAGGTTTCTTATTATATTTATTTATGCTTGCATAACAGCAACCGCAAAGAAGGGTACAAATTCAACATGATTTTCGACGAAATTTATATTGAAAAAATATAGAATAATTTTTATTCTTGGTCAATGTGACAAAAAATAATACTTTAATAAAGTATTGCGTTACTATTATTATTATACGCAAAAACAATTTTGCTAAAGTAGCTAAAAATTTAGCAAAATACAAATTTGAAAGTAATTTTGTTGGGCCATACGAAACAACATAAAGTTCAAAACTCGAGACATCAGACGTCTTAGGCCGGGTTGCACCAACATTATTTTGACTTTAAGCAAGACTCAAAACTCTCTCCATTTCATTTTAAAGCGAGAGACAAAAACAGAGAGAGAGAGAGAGAGAGAGAGAGAGAGTTTTAAAGCTTGCTTAAAGTCAAAGTAATGTTAGTACAATCGGGCCTTAAAGACAATGTATAAGATATTATATATAACATTATGAATATGCATACTTATTTCTAGAACATATGTATAAGAAAATATATCAACAATTTAATAATATCAAATTTCAACCGGATACCTCCCCGGATAATAGTAATATCTGGCTTAAAAGATATTTTCAGACAGATTTAAAAAGATTATCCTAAAAACGTTCGTCTTGTGTCCCGATTTTAGATTTTACATTATCTAGGATCAAAATATTAAATCATGATTGTGCTACAAAATTTACTGCCAGTACCAAAAATCTATAATGCATATCTACATATAAACTATACACTGTTCGAAATGAAAAGTAATATGTAATGGAGAAGTTCGTGGTCATGAGGTAACTGAAAAGTAATGAATGATTTAACTGAAAGCTATATTACAGTATAGTCTTAACCCTTACCGTACAAGATCGGGTCACTATAGTGACCGAGCGATTCCTATTCGTGTTAGTTTCTTTAAGTCTTTCAGTAATTATAAATTATATTACATTTTATTATTTTTCAAAATGAGTTTCAATATTCAATTGGAGTTTCAATATTTATTCTAAAAAGTTGAAAGTATCCCAAGTAGTAATTAGTGATCAATTAATAACGTCATACAATTTATTCCATTAATAACACGAAAATAATGATGTATTTTTTATGTCAGTTTATGACATTGTGTGATTGATAAGAAATATAAGAATTCACTTCATTTTTACGATGTTCAGATGTCAAGGAGCTTATTGTGGTTCTTAAAATGAGGTGGAAATTACAAAAGTAATTGAATTTACTAGAATATTTATAACTTCAACACCTAGCAAATTTGTTCATTTTTGTCATTTTCACTTCGTCTCCGGAACCGTATAGATTCGTCATAAGAATAACTAATTAATGACGTTAAATAGACGACACCTTGCTATCTGCGGCGCGATTCCGTAAGAGGCTCTGCACAATAAAAGGAACAGGGAACAGAGAATAGAGAATAAGAAATTCAACCTATCAGAAATCATGTAATGTGGAATACACAGTTTCTGATAGGTTGAAATTCTTATTCTCTGTTCTCTGTTCCCTGTTCCTTTTATTGTGCGGAGTCCCTATTTTTACACGCCTACCGACAGTTGTCGGTGTTTGCGCAGATATTTTATATGGCGAAAAAGCTGCGCGACAACCCCGACAACTGTCGGTAGGGGTGTAAAGACAGTTACGGAATCGCGCCCCTGGGATGTTAGTGAATTTTTAGATTTTTTGAACCATTCTAAGGCGTGTTCAGATTCCTATCCGAGTGCTGCCCAGGTGTCATGTCATCCTTGTCTAATGTACTATGAACAACAAGAATGGAGTGATACCTGGATCATGGGTGACACTCGATCGAGTAGGTACCTGAAAAGGTGAAAAAAATGGACGGATTTTAGTGACCCATATTTCGACAGATGCGTTACCAAATTGTATCTTGTATTGTAAGGGTTTAAATGTTATGAATTGTCTATTGCATGTATGACGTTGTCGAAGATATATACATATATGAAATACAAGGTTAAATATTTATTGATATCAGTTGCATCAGAAGAAGAAAATAGCATTGTCTTCATTTAAAGTATTAATAATTATGTATATATAACACTTGTCTTATTTTTTTACTTTTAAATACCCCATAGCTTAAACGTCACAGTTACAACGTTACAACGTCATCACAATAATTATGATTACGTTATGGTGACGTGCGAACGTCCGCTTTATCATAAGTGTGATGTCATAGCAATGTCATGATGGAAAAAGCTTTCACATGCTTTTTACACCATGGTGTTTGTAACATGTATTTTTTGTTATGAAAAGGCAGTTTGTAAAGGCAATTTACAGCAGGCCTGTCCAATTTGAGCTCCGGAGCCAATCAAACGTAAAGCCATCAACGCAAAAAGATTCCATGTAAGATTCCAGGGACTGTTGATACGACTGACTGACTGTTGGCTGAAGATACGTTCCGTATCACGCATGATGCGCATTCGTTGTCCTTGTTTAACATTTGGTGAGCAACAAGGATAAACGATACATTATGCGAGAAACGGAACGCACCCTGACTGACTGACTGTTTCAACACTTCGTAGTTCTAAAATCTTGCTAACATTGCAGTTTTTCACATCGATGGCTTTGTATTTTGGCTCCGGAGCTCAAACTAGACAGGCCTGATCTACAGTGACATCATTTTTTTTTTCGACTGTCTACGTGATGTAACGTTTAATATGGAGGTATACTTAAAATTTGCGTTTGTCTCGACTAACCTGTTACGTATGGCGGATTTAGACAATCAATCAAAAGTCGCGACCTCATTGTATTAACTCTTATTATAGGAACACTAATTTTTGTCTACGCGATTCACTTTTATCTGACGAAAAACACGAAAGAGAAACGGAACGATCCCACTTCAAGCTTCAAATGGCGCGAAATCAACATGGCCGCTGTATCGCCGCGCGAGCACTCACTGCAAGGATTAAGGTGTCTTTTCATGCTGAAGTTCGACGCTTAGCCCGGATCCTCATACGGGCAACAGCGCTTTGACACCGAACGCTGGTTGGTGAAAAACGGGCGATGGGGGTAAATTTTACCTCCGCAACTGGCTTTTCACCAATTAGCGCTCTGTGTCAAACGCTGTTGCCCGTATGAGGATCCGGGCTTGTTTTTAACATCAAAGCAAGTCACACGATAAAAATTGACGAATATCAAGATAAAATTTTAATAATTATACAGAATACCTCCCCCATCTCCGATTTCGATAAAATTTGGCTCATTCGACGCGTTTTTGCATGAAACGAAAGAATCTGGCAGAAATAAGCGTTGCTCTGCCCTGCGAACCGAGATATTTAACGTTAAAGTTGACGACTATTGAATTATTGGAAAGTTGACTACTAATGCTGGATTACTAATGCTGGATTCACACTGCATCCGATTTGCGTCGTACGGCGCAAATCGGATGCAATGTGAATCAGCTATACAAGCAACAGGCACAGGCAACAGGGAATAACGAGCCGTCCAATCAGACGGCTTCGATATTATATCTTCTGGGATATAATACCGAACTTACACACCAGGGGGTTGACTGTGTATCTCGAAATGAGATGAAAATTACAAAAGTAAGTAAATTTACCAGAATAATTTAATTGATCAATAACTAGTGAATTTGCTCACTTTTGTCATTTTCACCTCATTTCAAGATACACAATCGACCCCCAGAGCTCTGATTAGACAGCTCGTTATTCCCTATCGCCTGTGCCTATTGTGTTTAAGTCTTTAAACAAGGATTAAATGATACTCTCTACGTAAACGAATGCACCCCTAAATTAACAGAGAAGCGACAATTGCGGTCAATAATCAAAATTAATCGAAATTATCGATTATCGCCGCCATTTTCTTTCACCATGGATAGGCGAACTGTCAAAATGTGAGAGTAAGGTTAGCTTTCTCTTGAAAACTAAAATCGATCTGATCTTAAAAACATAACTTACAGAACATACAAACGATGAATTTTTTGGTTCCCAAGTAAATCCATTAATTTTCCGAATATTACTGACCCATATAGATTTTCTTTTTATGTTTGTGGGAAAACTATGCCTACCGTAGGATGAAAGAAAATGGCGCTGAATCACATGATTTAACAAGCCAATCAGATCATTTTCTCACTTCTCGCCTCTCTGTTAATCTAGGACAGCCGACACGAAAAATAAAGGTTTGTGCGCATGCACACAATAACGACAACGTCTCCCGACTGATTGGCTGCGTTCAGCGGACTCAATAGTGAGCTCTCGCTGTTACTGGTGTATTCTTTTAGATTATCCAATCAGCATTTTAGATCTGGAAGAATACATCAATAGCAGCGAGCGCTCACTCAACTGTTGAGTCCGCTGAACGCAACCATTGTAGCCCAGGCCTAATGCTGGATTCACACTAGATCCGACGTGCGTCGTACAATGTTCTGCAACCAATCAGAAAGTTGAATTTTATTTCGTATCGATGATACGAAGCAAAATCCTGTTCTGCTTTAATTACACAAATTCACTGCTTTAAAAATATAAATTCACTGCTTTAAAAACACAAATACTGTTAAGTCCGGATCTACAATAGGGTTTTAAGCCTTAAACCATAAGAAATGGGCGAATCACAGTCGCTTATTCTTCTCGGATTCGACTGTAATTGGTCAATTTCGTACGACTTAAGGCTTAAAACGCCTATTGTAGATCCGGAGTAATGCAAAGAATTTGTGTGCTTAAAACAGTGAATTTATATTTTCCTGCTCTACAACGGTTGAGTCTGCTGAACGCGACCAATGTGACATCAGCCTGCATCCGAGGTCTAGGGGTACGGTCAACGCGATGCTGCAAACGCTTTAAAGTGTTTTTTAATTGGTCAATTTGTAAAATTCTTTCTTCTAATTGGTCCATCAAATACTTCAAAGCATTTGTAGCGAGACTTTGACCACAGCCTAGGACCGATTTTAGCATCGTGGACATTGGACTTTAAAATCTTGTCGTCTGCTACGTGACGCACCATAACCCTTTCCAAAATGACACAAGTGTTAAACAGATTACTACTCAATAGGCATATTTATTTTTTGTCTAAAAACAGCAAAAGATTTGCCGGTCATAGCAAATGGCAGAATATAAAGCACACAAAGGAAGAAAATGATAACAAACGGATGTTACTGTTCAATCATCTGAAAATGCAAATGATGATTGCAATACAAGGTAATGTAATGTTTATTATGAGTTATATCATTTATTAAAATAAAATCCCATGTATACGAAACACAATAAACAGATTTTACTTGCGTAATTAATAACTTTACTTGAATGTATTTTTGTAACGTACTTTGTATGTGTGTTGCTTTAAAGTGCATTTAATTTTATTGCAATGAATAACACAGGTTAACACAAAAAATTTTATTAATCTGGAGATTAAATTATTTTATGTATTTTTATGTATTTTGACACTGTAAAACTGAATCCAATGTGGAAGATTGCTCCATCATGTCACAATTTTTTCCTATCAATGGAATATAGTTTGATTTTTCAGCATATTTAATCTGTCAACTTGCATCTTAACTTTATAAGCCTGTTTATTATCATTGAACTTACTTTCTCTCATTTACCTCGGTATATTGAAAACTAGACCATAATTGACTATTAAAATATAGAAAAATCAAGCTATTTTCTAATGATAAAAAAAATTGTAATTTAGATATCGAATTCGGTTTCAGAGCATCAAAATATATAAGAATCTCTGCATACATGATCAAATCTCTGGTTCAAATATCAAATTTTGTTTCACTTATGTAATTTTAGTTGCATTATGCGACTGTGAAAAAAAAACAATCTGTTTTAGAGGGTGGCACTACAAATCCAAGTAATAATTTAAAATTATCACAAGTCATTGAACGAGCTAAAAAGGTAAACATGCCTGTGGCATCGATAAAGTCTTTCCTCGACAAAATGGAGGCACGGAAAAACAAGACTCAAACAGGTGTAATAGAAGTTCGTGGGCCAAATGGTTATATCATGCTCGTATGTTATATAACAGACAATCCCAAGTTTTTCCTAACTGAGATTAATTCAAAACTTAAAAAAACCAAGTATGAACAATATGTATATTTCTAACATGTATAAATACCTATAAGTATTCGAAATATGTTATACAAAATATTAAACTTATTTTCTTAACTAAACTCCTTGCACCATCCATCTTTTGTTTTTGCTTCAATATAAGAAAAGAAGAAAAGTGGACTGTGCAAGAAGTTTAGCTGAAAAAAAGAAATCTAATATCTTAGGATATTTGAAAACAAAATTTTACTTTATTATACAAGATAAATCAGTTAAAATATTACAGATTTATATCTCGGAAACAAAGCATTTTAGAGAAAAATGTTTCATACAAAAGCTGTATGGTTTGGAGAGGGATATAAAATTGGTTTGATCTTGCAGAGTTTGAAGATTGCAAAATGATAATCATCAATTTCTTAAATGGAACCCCATATATTTCATTGCATATTCTAATAGCTTATCTCGAGAAATTTCTAAAACACTATAAAATATTTTTTCATTAAATACTTTTGGAGTTATAAGGCTTGAAAGTTACAGTGCCGCCGGTATTAGCATTACCACCGATGAGATACTATTAAAGATCCTCGGCGCTTTTGAAAATTCGCGTGCCTGTTAAAGCGATGTTAAAGCCTCCTGTTTTACCCACATTTCCATTCGGTAATCTCCGAATTGGATTTACGGATTGCAAAAGTATTATTACATAAATTAAAGTACGCACAAACAGAACCTCAGCTGTACTGGATTTCATGAAAAAATCGAAAAAAAGTTAAAAAATTCATTTACTTTTGGCTCTAATCTTGAACAGCATTCAAGAGGTTTTAGCCGTCGGTCGGACATTTTAGGTAATACTGATTCCAGCTGCACTGTAACTTTCATGCCTTATAATTTCAAAAGTACTTAACAAAAAAATATTTTATTACAGTATTCTGGAAAGCTCTCGAAGTAAGCTATAAGAATGTGCAATGAAATATATGAGGTTCGATTTAAGAAATCGATGATTACGTGATCTTCAAACAACTTCCCAAGATCAAACTAGTTACACGTTATCTTACGTCCCTTATACACCTTTTGTATAAAACATTTCTCTCTAAAATGCATTGTTTCCGATGTAAATCAATAACATTTTAACTGACTCATCCAGTATAATAATCTGTATTCAACATATAATTTTTTTATATACAATTATAAGAGCCATGAATTAATTAAATATTCCGAAATGTATGTCTCTCATCTAATATTTATTTTTTAATTTTATATAGAGGAAAAACTACAAATACTTCTGCCAAAAACATGTTTATTCATACAGGCAGTATCATAGTTGAAAAGAAAGGTAATTTGGAACAAGCTATGGAGGATGCTATTAACATTGGTGCGGAAGACGTAGAGGAATTCATGGAAAATGATATGGAATATTTCCAGGTATCCACTAAACACTTACTTTCTAAAGAATTATAAATAAAATCTTACTATAAATATGTGGCGAAGAACATACATATTTGTATATATGGAAAAAAATTTTAATTTATATATGTTTATTGTCAAAATTGCAATTTAGTTACTAATGTTTTCTTTGTTACAGTTTAAATGCGATCCGAAGCTCTTAAACAAAATAAAATGTCTTTTAAAAGATCGTGAATACTGTGTACTTTTAGCAGAAGAAGATTATACGCCACGAACTGTAATAGAATTAAATGAATCAGATTTAGAAGCTGTTTCTCATATTCATTTGATATAATTATAATTAAAGAACTATTTAAAAAATTCAGAAAATATAAATTTTGTATATTATATATTTTAAAAAATAAAACAAGAAATATAAAGTATATTTCAAGCTATTTCGATATACGACTTTTTGTCTAAAAAATCACTTTATTGAAATCACACATTATCAATTAAATAAATACAAATGTAAATAAATTTAATTTCACCTTATAATATAAAATTATATCAAACATTTTTTTCAAAAATTTTTTCAATATATTAAATAATTTTCTATTATTTAAAATTAATCAATATTAATTAGTGCATAATTTTTTAAAATATATATATTACATATATATATGTATATTTATATACGTACACGCATTTAATGTCAAATGTATAAGCCGTTTTTTAAAAAATTATGCATTTTGTCTATACATATATATTTTTTTAAATAACTACTATTTTTTTTATATCAATTTATGTGGTTATTCTGTTCACAAAAATATTAAGATATGATAACAAAATTAATCCTTTATGAGATATTTAATATTTGATCTCAATATGTGCCAAGCTAAAATATACAATATCTCGTAAATTTTTTTATATCTCTAACTTAATACTTTTATATGCAGAATAATAAGAGGCATCATATTATATAAAAAAATCGTACAGTTTTATTTAAAAAATGGAGGTGACCTTCATAAAATTTTTATAAAGCTTCCATCTAGAAAAAACGGATATAATTCCGAATGACTCCCGCTCGCCATTAATTTGCAATTTTGCACACAAATTTTATTTAATGTGAGAAATAAAAAACAATCTCAACTTCGAGAAATGAAAAAAATTTTTTATTTTACGACTTTTCATTCAGGTAGATCAACTTTGTGTGGAAAGTCGTGCGCCCCTTGACAGGAGGTAGGGTGGGAATCGCTTCGCGTAGAAGTCGTACGCTTCTAAGCAGAGGGAAAATGAGGTAAGTATTGCTTCGCGTGGAAGTCGTACACCTATAAGCAGGAGAGGAGATGGGGTGGAAG